GCTGTTCGCCCGGTGGAAACAGTGTATACTCGATTTCCTTCATCTCGTGTTGGTAGGAAACAGCTGCCGCCAGTTAAGTTAGTAGCTGTTTTCGCCCTCGTGGCCAAACAATCGAACATATACATTCCTGAGATGAATGTTTAATAATACGTCGAGTGTATAGTCGATTCTCAACGGTCAATTTTGGGATCCCCCGCGCCCGCGCGCGCGCATTTTGACCGCTTCAGAATTTGCTTGACGGTCAATGTCTACCCGCCGTTAGTGGAGGCCGCTTAAAATAAACACATTGATGCGCATTTTTCTCTGTACTTTTATTATTCTTACCATTTCTACCTTTGCTGAGTTGTTGCTAGATAGAGGTGGAAGAAAGATATATTGTTTTAATATGACGTGAAGGCGACGTATTCCTTAGTAGGTGCGTACTTTACTTTGAGTGACAAAGAAGATTATTGAAATGTTTAATGATTCTTAATTTTGGTTTTATTTTTCAACATGAATTTATCCACCTATGATGGGATGTAACCGATGTTACAAACATGCTTGGCATACACAGTTGTACACACCAGCATTTGTTAATAACTTTTCACTCAGTTGTTGAAATTTGTTTGTCTTTAAAGTAATTGATAGATTAGTATCATAGTTTACTATAAATATGCAAAGAGTAGGTAAATCGTAACATTTGAATCAACGCCAATGATTTTTTACACTTAAAGTTCGAGATGTGCAGCGAGCATTTCTCACTTCATTTTTACAACGCACAAACAAATATAGTTTATTACTAGAATTAAAGTATACTTTTTTTTTACGTATCTATAACAAGCTTAAACTCTATTCTATCTACTGCTTCAGAAATAACTATGTTACGTCAACTGTGTGTGAAGTTATTAGCAAATGAGCAGTTCGTGATCAAAACTGTGTATGCCAAGCATGGTTACAAACTTAAACAACAGCAAAAAGACTGAAAAGAATTTGATCAAATTCTAAAAATCTGGTAACCTGCCGTATGCGTGATAATGTTTGCAATGTCAAAATTAAAAAAGCTTCTCAAAAATATCGTTTCTAGTTTTTTTATTTATTTAAAGGGGGGATGTTTCTCAGAGTCTTAAACTATGTTAATTATCGATCGAGTTTCCACTTGCTGCAATTACGGTCTCCACACGCTTCCGGAATACACGGCAGGTTCTAATAATGTAGTCTGGATCAATTTCTCTCCAGGAACGGGACAATGTTTGTCTGAGGCTTGCTGTACTCGGGTGGCGTTTAGAACAGGCCTTGGCCTTCATGACGCGCCATATTGAGTAATCCAGCGGATTAAGATCGGGGCTGGATGGCGGCCATATATCCTTCGCCCAGAACGGAAGATGTTCCTGCAACCACTTCTGAGTGCGGTTCGAGGTATGGCACGGAGCCCCATCTTGTTGAAATTTCCACCAATCCAAACACCATAACGCTAACAGGATGCTTGGTCAGATACACGTTCTTGTGCTCGTTGGCCACGTCTTTTACCGAAAGAGAACTAATATACCGGTCGGCTCTGGAATTTGATAAGGGATCGACGGTAAATATGCTCTCGTCGGTGAAAAGGATTACCGGATTTTTTCGCTTAAGGAAGTTCAAGATTTTCTTGCATCGTTCGACTCGTAGCTCCCGGATGCGGTTGGTAATCATGTGAGTTTTTTTCCGTGCCCTCGACTTCGCCCCGCAATCTTCCTTTACGATCTTCCGTGCCGTAAAGTCACTGATCCCGTGTTCCTTTGCCATTTTCCTTATTGAACGCACTGGATTCACCCGAATCTTCCTTTTGATAGCAGCGATAACCCTCGGAATCCGAGCTGACCTCGGACGACCTGTGGCCACCTTCGCGGATAGTTGTCCTTTCTTTTCTCGGTCTAAAAACCCTTTTGACGGTCCACCGGGACACTCCCACAGCGATTGAAATGTCTTTTTGCGATATTTGCGCGTGGGACAAGTCATGAATACGCTTCCACCTCGTCATGGAGCAACTGTCAAACTAAGTAACTCAAATGATTATTGTATACACAGCCTACTACGGTATGAGCTATAGGTTACGTGCATTCAAAGAAAACCAAGGCATTGTATGCACAGGTGAAACGGGAACCTTATTTGTACGATGGTGCAAACATTATCACGCATACGGTATGATCAGATCTAATTAAGTTTTATGAGACGACTGACCTTAAATGTTTAACTCTCAATAATAATAAATAACACTTGAATTTCTATTTTGAACTTTTACTTTCCTTTACTTCTTCAATATCTTCTTTATCCTCGCCAGTATTTGATGTTCTTCTTCTGGTTGTACGAAAAAAGGTTAAAAAATAAATGGTTGAATGACAAAAGGTCGAAGGTCAAAATGCCCAAGGACAAAAGTTCCAAGGACAAAAGTTTCAAGGATTAAAGTTCCAAGGACAAAAGTTCCAAGGACAAAAGGTCGGATTGACAAAAGGTCGAATAGACAAATGGCCGAATGGACAAAAGGTCTAAATGAACACACGGTCGAATTCAATTTAACGGGACAAAAGGTCGAATGAAAAAAAGGTTGAATTAAATTTAATGGGACAAAAGGTGGAAATGAAAATAAGGTCAAAATGGAATAAAAGTAGAAATGAAGTAAACGTCGAAAAATGAAAAAAAAATCGTATTAATAAAACGAAGAATGGACAAAAAGTCGAATGAAATAAGAAGAGACAAATATTCGAATGCTCAAAAGGTTGAAATAAACAAAAGATCCAAGGAAAAAAGGTCGAATGAACAAAATGTCGAAGAGTTAAATGGTCTACATGGACAAACGGTCGAATGGATAAAAAGTGGAATTCAATTTAATGACACAAAAGGTCGAAATGGAAAAAAAGGTCGAATGGAAAAAAAGTCGAATGGACAAAAGGTTGAAGGAACAAAAGGTCAAATAAACAAACGGTCGAATGGACAAAAGGTCAAATTGATAACACAATCGAATTAAATTTAGTGGGACAAAAGGTCGAATGGATAAAAGGTCAAATTAAATTTAATGGGTCACAATGGTAAAAGAGTTAAAATGAAGTAAAGGTCGAAAAATGAAAAAAAAACATCGAATTATTAAAACGTAGAATGAACAAAATGTCCAATGAAACTAAAAGGGACAAAATTTGAATGCTTAAGGTAATACTCTAAGGAAGCCTTAGCGTGAAACTTTAAAGGCACAAATGTCAGCTTCCACAAAACATACAAATTTGAAATTGCTACTCCTTGTTTGCTGTGCTACTACAAACAGAGAGTAGCAATTTCAAATTTGTATGTTTTGTGGAAGCTGATATTTGTGCCTTTGAAGTTTCACGCTAAGGTTTCCTTAGAGTATCACCTCAAAGGGTTGAAATGAACAAAAGGTCCAAAGACAAAAGGACAAATGGACACAATGTTAAAGAGTTAAATGGTTTGATTGGACAAACGATCGAATGGTTAAAATGTGGAATTAAATTTAATGAGACAAAAGGTAGAACTGGAAAAATGTCGAATGGAGAAAAGGTCAAAATGGAAAAAAAGGTCGAATGGACAAAAGGTAGAATGGACAAAAGGTCAAAGGGACAAAAGGCCGAATATAAAAATGGTCGAATGGACAAAAATTAGGAATGAAACACGGTCAAATTAAATTTAATGGGACGAAAGGTCGAATGGATAACAGGTAGAATTGAATTTAAAGAGACGATAAGAGAGTAATGGACTCATGGAAATAGCTGAAAATGGAAACAACTATGAAGTTATGAAATCGGGTTGTTAATGGATTACTCAAAACAGCAAAAGAACTTCTTCTTCTTCTTTTTCGCGTTTCAAGCTTATTGCTTATCGTATATTAGCTTATTGTGTGCTCTCAACTTGGTGTTCTAGATGCACTTCCACAGTTAATTAATTGAGAGCTGTCGATACCTGCTACCGGGAATCTAACCCAGCAACTTGTAGCTGCACCTTTACCGACTAAGCTAAGGGAGGCCCAACAGCAAAAGAAGGTAATCTTCAATTCATCTTCAGCAAATATAGCCTCAGCCTTATCTTCAGCAAACATAGCCTCAACACGGAGCGCTGCACCTTTGTAATCGCCATCTGACTCGTGCCCCAGCTTGGAGGTGGAATTAAATAACAACAACGATGACTCAGGGTGGCGTCTACTTGGTACACTGAAACCTCCGTTTACGAAGTCCTTTTTTACGTCCCTCTTTTTACGAAGTAAATCCCAAATAAGGAGTTTTTTTTAGTGATTTTGGGAAACTGGGATATATTGCGAAAAACCCCAAAATATGGGTATTTTTGGAATCAGGGTGACGTGTAGAGACCGGAAATCGATGTCTGACGCCATTTTGAAATCCAAGATGGCAGCTTCCGGTAAAATAATAACTTCGAAATTCTGTCAAATACCCCACAATATGGGTATTTTTGGAATCGGAGTGACGTGTAGGGACCGGAAATCAATGTCTGACGCCACCTTGAAATCCAAGATGGCGGTTTCCAGTTACGTAAAAACTTGGAAATTCTGTCATATACCCCACAAAATGGGTATTTTTGGAATCAGGGTGACGTGTAGGGATCGGAAATCAATATCTGACGCCATTTTCAAATCCAATGGCAACAACAACAACAACAACAACAACAACAACAACAACAACAACAACAACAACAACAACAACAACAACAACAACAACAACAACAACAACAACAACAACAACAACAACAACAACAACAACAACAACAACAACAACAACAACAACAACAACAACAACAACAACAACAACAACAACAACAACAACAACAACAACAACAACAACAACAACAACAACAACAACAACAACAACAACAACAACAACAACAACAACAACAACAACAACAACAACAACAACAACAACAACAACAACAACAACAACAACAACAACAACAACAACAACAACAACAACAACAACAACAACAACAACAACAACAACAACAACAACAACAACAACAACAACAACAACAACAACAACAACAACAACAACAACAACAACAACAACAACAACAACAACAACAACAACAACAACAACAACAACAACAACAACAACAACAACAACAACAACAACAACAACAACAACAACAACAACAACAACAACAACAACAACAACAACAACAACAACAACAACAACAACAACAACAACAACAACAACAACAACAACAACAACAACAACAACAACAACAACAACAACAACAACAACAACAACAACAACAACAACAACAACAACAACAACAACAACAACAACAACAACAACAACAACAACAACAACAACAACAACAACAACAACAACAACAACAACAACAACAACAACAACAACAACAACAACAACAACAACAACAACAACAACAACAACAACAACAACAACAACAACAACAACAACAACAACAACAACAACAACAACAACAACAACAACAACAACAACAACAACAACAACAACAACAACAACAACAACAACAACAACAACAACAACAACAACAACAACAACAACAACAACAACAACAACAACAACAACAACAACAACAACAACAACAACAACAACAACAACAACAACAACAACAACAACAACAACAACAACAACAACAACAACAACAACAACAACAACAACAACAACAACAACAACAACAACAACAACAACAACAACAACAACAACAACAACAACAACAACAACAACAACAACAACAACAACAACAACAACAACAACAACAACAACAACAACAACAACAACAACAACAACAACAACAACAACAACAACAACAACAACAACAACAACAACAACAACAACAACAACAACAACAACAACAACAACAACAACAACAACAACAACAACAACAACAACAACAACAACAACAACAACAACAACAACAACAACAACAACAACAACAACAACAACAACAACAACAACAACAACAACAACAACAACAACAACAACAACAACAACAACAACAACAACAACAACAACAACAACAACAACAACAACAACAACAACAACAACAACAACAACAACAACAACAACAACAACAACAACAACAACAACAACAACAACAACAACAACAACAACAACAACAACAACAACAACAACAACAACAACAACAACAACAACAACAACAACAACAACAACAACAACAACAACAACAACAACAACAACAACAACAACAACAACAACAACAACAACAACAACAACAACAACAACAACAACAACAACAACAACAACAACAACAACAACAACAACAACAACAACAACAACATATCTACCGATTATCGAAACAACAACACTAACCGTAATAGTTTCCACAGCAGTGTTAGTCAGAATAGAAACAACCTACTGCCCCACCTGATCGAGAGCTTCTTGCGGCAGCAAAAGATCGGTTTTCCAGGCCACCGCATGCTAACTATCGACCCACAATGCAATTCCAACGAAGGGAAATCTTAAACCTCTACCCGGCGTGCGATGTATACCCACGTGCCAGTGCACTTACATAACGGGATGGCTGCAATCTGCATCATGCGAGGCGTGTGTATGCAGGAATTTGTGTTTTGTACGAAATTTAAGCACCTCTGGGAGGAAGACAATGATCCGGCAGACCTCGATACTATCCAAGACTTGACAACTTCTCTACATCAAGGAGACCATGACGAACCGGATGCGGCTGGTAATGAATCCATAGTTTTTTTTTTAAATAGTATTATCGAATCTGATGATCTTCCAAAAATTTTCTCAGAAACACATTTTACTGAAAATCTTCCAAAAATTTTCTCAGAAACACATTTTACTGAAATTCTGGTTTATTGTCATAATTTCAATCGCATGAAGAGCACATCAAAAATGAATGAAATTTATAGAAATATATTGAGCTCTTATTTCTTGGTTATAATGGGAACTGATGATTCCATTAAAAGTGAGGAAATTTTTGGCAGTGATTATAATTTTTTCTGAGATGACCGCGATTTAGTTTAAACTCAAAGAATGTCAGGTGGTCGAGTTCTTATCGCAATCTCATCAAAATTTAATTCGGAAGTCATTGTGTCATTGAAATCTAAAGAATTTGAGCATGTGTGGGTGAAAACAAATATAGCTGGTGAAAGTCATATCTTCGCCACATTGTACTTTCCACCAGATTATGCTTGTAAGACTTTTTATGAAATAATTTTCCAAATAGCCAAAAAATAGCATCTCAATTTTCTCCTGAATTATGGCGATTTCAATCAACGGAATGCTGATTTCATAGCTGACTGAAAATTATTCATGCATTATCCAAAACGCTGCTCAAAGATATCACTGGAATAATTCTCAAGCAATAATTCATCCATTTGAAGTTTATTATAAGAAAGACAATAAACTTGAAAATGTTAGCTTCATTATCATATCAGAAGTAATGACTCACGATACAGTTGCAGTTCAGTTGTTCATCTCAAAAATGATAGATTTTATTAAACAATCGATAGATTTTTCTAAAATTACTTTTATGTCAGATGGGGCAGCATCACAATACAAAAATAAAAAAAAACTTTGCTAGTCTGTGTAGATTTCAGTCAAAGCATGGATTAGAAGCAGAATGGCATTTTTTTGCAACGTCTCATGGAAAAGGTCCCTGTGATGCCATTGGTGGCACTCTCAAGCGAATGGCAAAGAGAGCTAGTCTTGCTCGAGATTATGGAAACACCATAACAACTCCACGAGAATTATATAACTGGGCAGTTGAACAAACAGATAAAATATCACAAAACTACGTTTCGAGTACATATCCACTGAACAGTACATCGAAATGTCAGAAGAACTCGAAGAACTATATAACAGCACAAAGACAATATCTGGCACACAGAAATTCCACAGTTTTGTGCTTATAACTGGTGGCAAAATAGCGGCAAAAAAGTATTCTAATTCAGAAGATGAACCAAAAATATTTAACTTGATTAGAAAAAGGAAAAAAAAAATAGCATGTATGAAAGTAGGTTTAAAACATTGAAAATATATAAATAAATGATATATGAAATTTTTTGTCTTTTTTCTCTCACATATTATCAAATATTGCATCAGTAGTAGACAACAGAATAAGGGAATGATATTTTTTTTGACAAGGTCTACATGTCCAAATAGTGTTATTGAACTCTGAGAGGATGCTGCCGAGGATGCTGCCAATTCCAAATACGATTTGGCGAGAAATGCATCATGAGCCCTTTTCATATGAAATTCTTGATTAATCAAAGTGAACTTAAGTGTTGATAAGACAAAATTTAATCGCAAATTGAGCTTCATTGAACTGGTTTAGTTTTGTTTGAAAATGGCAAATAAAAAAAAAATCAGTTCAGACATGAAAAAGTTTTTGTAAAAAAAACTTTTCTAGTCTAGTCTAGTCTAGACTAGAAAAGTTTTTCTTACAAAAACTTTTTCATGTCTTAACTGATTTTTTTTTCAGACATGAAAAAGTTTTTGTAAGAAAAACTTCTTTTCCTTAAAAGTGTCCATCTTGCGATGCATGGAAGGTTGGTAGTAAACGTAATTAGCTATCTTGAAGCAAAGTTTCATCCAAATCAAACACGGCCATTTTTTTTAAATCGACTTTAAATTTTAAAAATCGACTTTTTTAGTGTAGGTCTCAAATAAAATTTTTGCCAGTATTTTTTTCGATAACTTGGGCAATTTCCTAAAAGTCATCCATACAACACATTTTTGTAGGAGTTGTCATTTTTCCATAATATTTTTTTGAAAAAAAATCGGCAGAAAAAGTTTGGCCCTTCTCAAATGTTAGTCTAGATAAATTTTGGAAAAACGTAGTATGCAAAGTGGCATATTTAGTCAAGGTCCACACATCCAGAAAGTTTCATCGAAATCTGAGAGGGTGCTGCCAGCTCCTAATACGATTTGGCGCGAAATGCGTCTAGGTCTCTTCCGTGAACAATATTGCTTCGCAACGCATTGACTCAGTTTATTTATTATCAAGACTTAATTTTTATGTACCTTCTCGTCAATTGCGTAATCGACATTTGTGGTAGATCGTCATCGCACTAACTACGCGAAATATGGACCGATAAATCGGATGATGTCTATTTATAATCTACACTGTGAAATGATAGACCTTAATATGTCGCCCCTAAAACTGAAAAAAAAAATATTTCCAAACACTGCAAAATCATAGACTACGTTCTTAATTGACGAATAAATAAATATAATCAAATTCAATTCCCCTTAATTGGGAATTATTTAATAAGGGAAATCCCCAAAGGCTTGGTAGCCATCATGCATTTGTAGTCGAAATTCGTATCTGTCATGGATACAAACAATAGTGAAGTGGAATTAAATGGAAAATAACCTTTTTGCTGTTTTGAGTATTCGATTCCATAACTTCATTATGATTACTACCATGGGGGTTTCCTTATAGGTGCTTAGATTTTCCTTCTTTATTTAAATCTGGGGTTATTAGTTGTAGATTAATTTTTATACCATGATCTTAACATGTTTACCTAGGGGATGAGTGCTTAAGAGGGATAGATTTTGATAAGTCTTTGAATTCCAACATTAATTCAGTGAAATTAACTGGAATAATCAAGATTTTGATCGATAAGCAGTAACAGGTTCAGCGATAAGAATTCAGATATCTTTATCATGATGATATAATGTTCGATGCATGCATAAAAACATGGTATTACCATATTTAAATGTAGACCCAAACTGATGTAATAGTTTTCCAATCAAAAAACTGTTGCGTACCAGTTAAGGGGTAAATATACTTTGTTTGGACACCTTTTTTTTGTGTGTGCTAATACTAATTTAGAAAAATAAAAGTCAATTAGAATACTTCCGACATCACTGCGACGTAACCACATCATTTTCCGCTTCCACTACAGCCAAATGTCGACTGGTGAAGGAAAGCAAACGAAAAAAGAACCAAAGCATGCAAACCGGTTATAAAGTAATTGTGGATCGTTCTTAAAACAAAAGGAAAATCTTTCTCCCAAGTGAGAGGGATGAACCGCCTTGTCTCACAAATATTTTTAGCACCCTACCATAATCAGACTGCTGCTGCCGGCGGCGGCGGTTTCCACCGTATTAATGTGTATCTGTCTGACGTGTGAAACGTGTTTTTCAACTTGCCGTCTACTGCTTTCGTTCGACCATCGTTCGTTTCCTCGCGCACCGTCCGGATTTTCATAGAATTTTCCCCCATCATGCAATGTACGAACATTTCAGCGCAATCCACTGGTGAAATGGCATTTTTATTTATCTTTTATATTGTAGGCATTTGTGTTGATACGAATTTTTACTTGAATGACGAGAATTCAAGCATACCTGTACAACGACGTGGGAGTATGCGTAAATTAAGAGAGACTTTAATAATAATTTCTTAAGTGATGCTAATTTTGTGCATGATTCAGCATCAGAAATGAACTATACATAATTGATGGGTTTTAATGGTCTAAAGAAAATGGTTTAAAAATATCTCGGAATAACGCCAGTCCATTGTTTTGCTTCGTTTTTAATTTTAGTAGGACATCAGCGTAAAGCTATAATAACGCATCAGTGTTGACAGACGCACGACTTGCGGCAATGTGGCAAAGTGTCGCTTCGCAGACGACCTGGCCAATCAATCCGTGGTCCGTGGCTGTGACAGTCGGTGGACGTAAAGCAGCCAACCGGCCAGTGAGTGAATTTGGCATGTTTATTTTCGATCATCTGGCCACGTGCGTCGTTAGTTGGTGGGTGGGGGGAGGCGTGTTGTGGTTGGAGAACTTGTTTGTTGTATTTGGAAGATAATGAGCAGAAGCATTTCTAGACGTGACGCATGGCCACGGTTAATTAGGAATTGATGGTGTGCAGTGTTTTGTTGTTAGAGCTTCCTGATTTCGCACTTGGATAACTTTCATCATGCAGTCAGAAGGAATCTACGTCTCATTTGTGGATCAATGTCGGAAGACATTTCCACTTGAGGGATCTTTGGGCTAATCAATGAACTATCAATATAACATATCTGAATGATGCATTGTTATCATTTATGTACTTCCAGTAATCGTAATATATTCTGCAAAACGATAACATAGCGAAATAGTTATCAAAGTTTTCAATCACTTATTTAAGTAAATAACTGAAAATAATATCTTGAAAATTCATAAATTTTGTATTACAACAGCAATCTTCAATCATCAACCCTTGAATGAACCATTAAGTCAAGGCTATGTTTCACTTAGATGACGCTGTTGCATTGGTAGTAAGTAATGAAAATCCCCATAAAGACATTTGGAAAAGTGAAAATAATACGCTTTTGATGCATATTCATGTCAAA